TAATAATAAGGTTCAGGGATTATCAGGTTTAGGTTCCTGACACCTCCAACCCACCGTGCCTGCACGCAGCGAGTGAGCTCTCGGACGTCGGCGGTGGCTGGGGGATAACGCTCTGCCTCGGACGGCTTTGGCCAATCGTTGATGTTGTAGCCGCCGAAGAATTTGATGGCCTCGTCCGTCCAATGCTGATTCGGGCGGTTGTGGAGATACCACCCGAAGGCGTGCGCGTACTCGTTGAAAAGCTTGTTGAGCTCCTTGGCTAGTTAGAGCCATGGTGATGACATGTCAGTTCAATGTGTGAAACAGACCGAGCATCTGCCGACGAGAAGCGCTAAGGTCTATGAGAAGCTGCCTGTGCAACGACCCCAGCGGAGCCTTCTTGTCCCTCCCATCTTGTAGCACAGCCTTCGCCTAAGCTCTCGGGTAATGCTTGACATTGAATCTGCAGCAGATGCTGATGCAAATGGAGTCGAGTGGCTCCCTCGGACAAAGCCTTGCGCTTATTGTGCTCGCGCTGGTTCTTGCCCGGGTTCCGCTTTTTGGCCTTGGCCTTCGCCTGGGCTTTGAGCAATTTTGGGGATCGGCTTGGGGACTAAAATTGGGCTTGTGAGGGCTCGGCCGTTGACCCTGCCACCGACTCTGGTGGCTCGGGCGCAGGAGCTGCTGGAGCCGTCTCGGGCGCAGGATCTGCTGCAGCCGTCTCGGGCGCAGGAGTCGGAGCTGCCGCCTTCAAACATTCACAAGAGTCACTGTGAAAATCTGAATCCAATAAACTCACTGACTCGGTCAATGCATCGGCCTGCTGGCCCTGCTCGGACGTGGAATCGCCCTCTGCCATTTCGTCACAAAAGACTGAGGGATAATGACTCGGACTGGCACTGTGTGCGGAGAATGCAAGAGTCGTAGGTTCCAAATTTAGCTGTGGGTTGAAGCCGAGATTGGTGGGGACCTGGGGGCCCGTCCACCCCCCACCGGGTCCCCAGCAGGTTCGGGCCCTGTCCACCGGGGTCAGCCCGGGATCAGAATGCAGAGCTCGGAGGCACCATGAGGCCACGTACACTTGATGAAACGCAGTGCTGGCAACAAACATGCATGACTCGTCCGTCAGATATACGACGGAAATCGAACTCACAAATCCTTCCAGGAGCTAAACCATGTAATTGACCGCATTCAGGACATGTCATGAATGATGCATGTTGGCATGCGGACATGATCAAACACATGACCATTGACATCATGGTGTCCGATTGAAACGAATCCCTGGACATATATACAAGCTTCGAACAGGCCAGTGACTCATGTTTCCATGACATGACTGCCCATTCCGCAAACCTGACACAGCATTAACAAGCATGGAACCGTGACAACGCATGCGACACTTCACTGAATCTCATGTTTTCCCCATGCGCAGAGACCATCTCGATGATTCGTCAGCAGCGAAGATCATCGAATGGTCATTGCCTGAGCCCATCAGATCGGTGCACGGAATCGCGAAATTCGCAACATACATAGCATGAGATCGGCATGTGACGGTCATGGCTAGCGCTTCATATACCTCTCATTTTTCTCAGGTGCGCAGAGCGACGTGCCAATCCAAAAGTTCGGACTCTTACATCAGGGGCAACATCTGTCTCCCAGTACGTGTATAACCGAACTTCGTTGTAAATTCAAACAGGTTTATTTTGCAAATGCTACGTAAAGTTGCTGCAGAATCTGCACCCGGTACACGAGTCGACGTCAGAATCAGAATCACTCCGTTCACTTGAGGAGGTGCTTTCCCCAGCGGCAAAGGTCCTTTTTGGTCTTGGCAGCCTCGCTTTTGTCTTTCCCCTTGCCTGCAAGGCACAAACGAAACCCACAATGTCATGACGAGGCATCATTGTTGGGCAATCATTGTTGGACAATGCATGTGCGCTGCACGTTTGCGATGGTTGTGTTTCTGTTGATGTCATTTTTTTACATGTATCGTACGGTTGTCTGTGTATGTGGTGCGAGTCGTCCTGAACTTAGTCCTTGGTGCAACAACCTCCTTGTGTAGCGCGCAGGTGTCGTAGCTAAATTTCACGGGCCAGGCGTGGCCATGCAAGTACGCACTGTATTGGTTCACTTAAAAGTCAAATCTGATCGGCAGTTTGTCAACCCTTGCAATGCAGTTTGTAATGAAATCTATGTGTGTAGAGTACAAAAAATGAAGCTGATCCTATTGTTTAAGCATTCAGTCCTGCAAACACCGCATGAGTCATGAGTTGCATGAGTCATGAGCTCATCGGCATGTACATGAATGCCATGCATGGCACGACTTGACATCATCATGTAAACCATGAGGACTGATTCATGAAACATTTTAGAATCGGCGTTGTGGAACGCGAGTGGCATTCACATGCACCGTGTATGGGTCGTCAAAACGTTGGTGAAACGGTCAAACGTGGCTTGTGTACATGACGCTCATGTCCGACTCATGTCTGATGTCTCATGATCGTCAATCGTGAAAGCCATGAACTCAACCAGCATGTCACAAAGAGCCGACAGAATGTGACTACGCCGCTGATGGCAGATAGCGAGCCTAATGAACAGGCCATACAAACGTGACGAATGTGAAAAGTGACTTCACCTGAATATTTACGCATACAGCCAGCCTCGTCCTGTTTGATACATTGATACGTGAACAACACAAATGTTCACGTTCCGTGCCTTTGCCTTTCTTGTCGCCCTTGCCCGGCGTCTTGAAGTAGTTGATCGCGGCCTGCATCCCAAGCATGTCGGCTGCCACGTCCGACGTGTTGTCTGATGTCGATGCCGCTGCCGACATCCGCTCCTTCAATTTGGCTTCGGCGGCCGCAAGTGCTTCCGCCATCGCCTTCTGACGAGCTGAGCGCTCCACCCCGTCGTCTGACGCCGATTTCGCTATCGTGATCTTGGTCAGTGGCAAGGTATCGGGCATCACACAGGTGTCCATTGCTCGATCCAATGCTGCCTGCACGGCACCGTCCTCTTGCTCGTCTTTGACCTTCTCATCTGCAATCTGTTGCTCCAAATCGTTCTTGCGCTTGAGGCATGCCCGGAGGTCAGCATCGTCATCGTACTCGGCATCATCACCGCCGCGACCTGCACCTTTACCACGTCGCTGTTTCTTGGCTGCTGCCTTGGCTTCGCGGTCCTTCTTTTTGGTAGACTGCTTGACCATCGCCACGGCTGCCTTCTCCATTTTCTCCTTCTGTTTGTCCACTGCGGCCTGCAACTTTTCCATGATGCCATCAGCTGGGCGGAGAACCTGCATCTCGCAATCGCCAGAACCTTGATGTAGGAATGTAACATCGGACCGTCGCGTAATTCATAGCATGAGTAATCAGTAAATTAAATAGTTAATCGACGAAATCGAGATATCCGTATCCCATCAAGGTCACAAGCTCGACAACCCGACACCATGTAATTCAGCAGTTGATATGGAAAATCCATGGATTCAACACCACATGGTCACATGCTATGATATGGGATATAATCATGGAAAACATTGGCAATGCGGCAATGCACATGCAGACCTCGCGATGACGGGTGAAACGGGGAGCCAGGACTTGTCAATGTTAAAATCAATACTCACAGTACAGAACGACAGTATGTGAAATGGCATCAATGACGTGCTAAGGATGCACCATGGTCTCAAGCCAAATGGCAATGCGGCCAGTTCTCCATGACGGCCTTTCCGATCAACTTCTCTTTCTCCGTGTCGTCTTTGGCCAACCTGAAGACAAGCTCGGCAGCACAAGATGCGGATCCGTAGGGATCGGACTCAACGGGCTCCGACTCAGACATCTTCTTGTCATGCTCATCAGACTCGCCAGCATTGCGCTCGCGCCAGCACACGAAGTGCATCCGCGTTACCTCTTGATAGAGGTAAGCGTCTGCAGGCTTTGCCACGGGCTTGGCGTGCCACGCGGCCACGAGCACATCACAACCTGAGCTGGTGATGGACGACTCCTTGGGGTCCCTGGGCTGGACGTAAAAGTCCACCCCGAAAAGCCGGCAGAAATGCAATGCCCCCTTGGAGTGGGTGGTCGTGATTGTGCCTGCGAAGGGCAGTCGTAGGCCGTCATTCACTGGGACATTCATCCTACACAAGCCCTCTTTCTTGCTCTCGAAGTTCAGCACAATGGAGTCTTCCCCCCTGCAGATGGCCGAGTACATCTGCCACTGCAACATCTCCAGCTGCCGAGTCAAGACCTTGAAGAAGATCGTGTCCATGCTCTTGATCTCCAGGCTCTTTGCATGATCACTGTGGGATAGAACACCGGCAGCGGACATGACCTCGTCGGTGGTGCAAAAGGTGTTGACCTGGTAGAGAGTCAGCCGCTTCTGTTTGGCGCTTGCTCCTTCAGCGGAACCAGTACTCCGCGAGCCAGGAATTGCCGTGCCACTCTGACCGTTTTCGGATCCTGACTCTCCAGTGTCTCGGCTCGCTTCTTCACTCAGTAAGTCGACATGACGGATGATTCGGATGATGGTGATGATGGTCATGGTGGCAGCGCATGGCCACACGTGCCGCACATGTGTATATAAGGCATGCAGGCAGGCAGGCAGGCAGGCAGGCAGGCAGGCATTCGACATGTATCCTTTATCCTCAGTACATGAACTGTATGGATCAACCGACCGAGTATGTATGGACCATGTGTCCATGGTCCATGGAGTCCATGGAGTCCATGGATGTGTGAATGCATGCATGCAATGCATGCGTGAAGTGTGAAGCTCATGAATTTCATGAACCATGCCTCATGAAGTCTACCCGTGTCATCATGTCGCAAGAACCGCACTCACATGATTCATGATATGAGCCGCACATGCACATGACTCATGACTCATGACCTTTACTGATACTCCGCGTTACATACCATCATGAGACCCAAATCATCTGTCACATGTCACATGATGTCACATGCGACTCACTAACGTTCTGATCGGAATGAATGGAAGCATGAAATCATGAGCATATGGCTGATATGGCTGACCTAACTACTATACAACAGTTGCCCGGCCCGACCTCCGTTGGCTTGATCATCGTCCTTACCATCAATGTCAATGTCGTTGGTGGAGCTGGAACGAAACAAAGATGCTGCCGTTATCGATTTTGCAGTCGTGCTGGAGGTCCCCTGTGTCGCATCCTTGGTGTCCAACCCCTCTGTGGCAGCGACCAGCTTATCATTGAATGACATCAGGTCGTCCGAGTCGGCCTTCTCGAGGATGGCAGTCCAGTCACGAGCCCAGTGGGTCGCGAACTGTACGGCGTCAAACGCGACCATGTTGCTAAAGCAGGGATCTGTCATTCGCAGTGCGTGCAGCTTTGGGATCAAGCCATCCAGCGGTTCGGACACCTGCAAGTGGATCCGTCCGGCTTTGCGAAGCACGAGCAACTCCTTCAACAGCTCCAGAAGATACGTTACACGAAGAGAGCAAGCCTTCTGGAGGTTGTCGACATTCCCGAACACCTCACGCGGCGTCACGCGAGCAACAAATCGAACGTCGAACAACATAATGATACGATGCATCTCATGAGGCTCATGAGCTCCTGATTCATGGGCCTGCATGGGTTCATGGACTCGTGTGTGATGTATGGGTGGGGTCATGAGACTCATCCCTACATGTCAAGCACAATCGACATGGCATGGAGATGTTGCAACGACATGTGTCGCTGCAGTGCCATTCCTACAGACTTACAGACATGAGCACCTACACACACAAACACAGACAGCACTAGGACCAGTGTTGGCGCCAGCCTCCTGAGTGCCCTCCACAAAGTGTTTTCGTTCTCCGTATGCTGCAGCGACATCGAAAGCGAAGCCGAACATGCCCGGGGGCAAGATGTTGCAAATGCCCGAGTAGAGCGAGGAGATAACATCCACCAACAGGTACTTCCTCCCGGCGGCACTCTCAGACAACAGAGAAGTCACCACATCTTGCACGGGCTGGTGCATGAGGATTGGCAAGTGGAGCTTCTGGGATATGTAGGCGGTCCAGGGCACCACGGTCAGCTCGCGATTGCAGGTCATGTGCTCACAAACGCTCCTCAGTGCCCGCTCGTCACCGTCGTCGTCCTCAGCCCACAAAATCTCGGACACAGGCTGGCTTGTGAGGTTCTCATTCAGCAACCTCGCAAGCTCCAAAGCATTGCAGGTCTTTTGGCCATCACTGTCAAGGGTCACAAACCCAGGCGTGTTCAGCGTCTCATTGGCATCCAAAAGGGTCTGCTGCAGATCGACTCGCAGCAAGGAGTATGCACGATGCTCCCGCCCAGCCACAGACACCTTGCCCTGAAACGCGAACTCGAGCCACAACGAGATACAGAAACCGAAGGTGTCCAGTGTGGCAGATTCCTCAGTGATCATGTCCTTGTTTTTCAGAAGACCCATTGCATAGTCAAGGGCACGGATGATATCATCGAGGGCCGTCAATGGTCGAGACTCTGTCGCTCCTGATGTGCAGGAAGTCACAACACCAGAAAACGAGGAACGCTCGTCGTCGCTGTAGCCCTTGATGGTGAGCCCTCTGGCAGATTTCTTGGTTTTCCGCTTCGTGCTGTCGGGTTCTTGTGCCTGTGCTTCTGCGGCATCTGCCTGAGCCTGACCGATGTCTCTGTCTCCTGCCGGGCGGCCCAGCTTTTTCGCTTCGGTATCCTTGAGTTGGATCTTCAGCGACTCCACCTGGGCCAACTCTGCCTTGACGGCCAGGCTTGGATTGATTTTGCTCTTACCGGTGCCTTTAGCACTCATGGCTCCACCACGGCCTTCTGCACCCTCCCCGGCCCCACCAGTGCTCAGTGCCATTTTCCTCACGACGGAGCTGGTCTCCATTGGCAAATTCAGCAAGTTCATGGACTTCGAGGCGTCAGCTCCACCCTTCTCGAACGAGAAGGATAGCGTGCGTCCGACTGCTCGGGAGTGAGGTGACACCGGCACCTTTGCTGGTTTAGGGTTCCGTAGAGTTCGCAGAGCAAGACGGGGGGGCCTGGCTGAGAAGGGCCAAGGGCCCCAAGACGGTCACCAGCGAAAGTCCGGTGTCGGTGGTGTAGGTACGGGCAGAAATATATGGCATACGGACTGACGACGTCGGTATAATAGGGTTAAGAGTCAAGCAAACATTTTCGGATTTATGTTTTAGTTACTGTTCATGTTCAAAATCTACAGTCGACAGTCAACGGTCTGTCTGTGCAGAGTTTGGTAGGGTTTGGTTTTGTGATTTGGGCCAGTTCGACGTGTTCCCACACCTCTACTTTGGGAACTCAGTGTTCCAAGGGCTCAATGGTTTAAGGCTCGGCTCGTGGCTATGTGTAGGATTCAGTCGTCCTGATCATTGTGCCGGGCTGTCGAGAGTAAGCTTGCAGGATTGAAATAGTGAATCAATACAATGAGTCATGAAGCTCATGAGAAACATGTCCCTACACATGCAACATGCGGCGTCACGCATTGCAACATGACAAGCCTAAAACGGGAGTGAAACGAATGCAAACAACGCAATCACGCATGCTAACATGAACGTATGTGAGACCGACGGTGGCACATCGCATATAACTTGACGGATGGCTCATGCTGCCGAGTGCTGCAGCACATGAATATGGGGCGGGGTCTGGTGGGGTGGTGGAACCAGTGAGTGAGCAGGGCCGTACCTAAGACACACGCGGCGTCCTACAAGCAACACAACACGACCACCGCTGAGCACAGGACACAGGCCTTCACGGCCTCGAATATGATGATACCGATTTTGGCCTTGAGGCAATATTTCTTTTGGGACGTCACAATGAGAGACGTGATGGCGTGCATGGTGTTGATGGTGTTCTGTGGCTCATATCGGGGGTCCAGAAAGTCCACGAAAGCGTTGGTCCACTGTACGACTTTGTCGTAGACGCCGTAGTTCTGTAGATGGTGTGCTAGAGCGAGTGCCGTGTAGTAGGGGTTCTTCTGCTTGAAAAACCCGTTGAACTCCGGACTACTGCCTTTATTGCTCAGTATAAAGGCGTCATATGCAGCGGAATAGCGGGGGTTGTACGTGTTGATCTGGGTGACGCGACACTCTGCCCGCCAAGCGTGCTCTATGCCCAGTGCCTCTGCCAGGAAGTCGAGGTGGTTTTCCCCGCTGCCCTGATGGAAGGCGTTGAGGAGGACGATGACCTTTTTGAAAACGCAGTCCGGCGTGCGTTCATGCAAGACCTTGACCTTCCTCAACCCTCGAGTCAACGCGTTCTGGACCATCGGGTGGTCCGGCTGCTCGTCTCGGCAGCGGTAAAAGGCCTCCGCGCGGTGGTTAAAACCACCGGCAGATAGCGGAAGGGTGTGATCAGCCGTCCGGTACCGGAAGATCGCTTCACCTGTTTGCTATGGCATCTGCAGTGCTTATGTGCGTGTAGTAGTGCAAACGAAAGAGGGGGAACCGTCGGGAACAGAATGGATGGATAGAGCCTGGATAGAGATATGGAGAGAGCCATAAGACTCATGTAGTCGTTAAAATGTGTGTGTGAATCATGAACGTCACATGCTACCCTAACGCCCAGACAATGCCCCCGGCCCATGCCCCATGGCCCCATACCGTGCCCCAACTGGATGTCATGATATGCACTGCATGTATGGCCCCGTGGCACCTGTGTGGGAGTGATGTCCTACATTCCCATGAAACCCGCACTAGTCATGATGAGCCAGTGGTGCACATCAGTGTCCCACGGTCACAACGATCATCACCAACCACGAGCAGGTCGATCACTAACATGGCATGGACGTGGAAGCATGAAGTGGTACATGAGTCAACAAAGCATGGGGAACGACCCCACCCCGCAGTCGCCATGAGAATCATGTCACGCTACGCGCATGCGGCATCATGTCATATTCTCGTGTCACGCAGCATGTGCACTGGACAGAGCAATCCAACAACGCATCCGTCTAAATACTGCGTCACTGACAAGAAACCATGAATACCATGAACCCTGAACCCAACCCCGGCACACATGAACAAAAAGCAATAATGTGGAGGCATGTACCGGCAGGCCTGAGACCATCTGACTCAGGCCTTCGTTCCATATGCGTGTCATGTAGCGACTGACCGTTGCCTCTTGAATGGGCCGGCTCAACTCCGATCTAACGACCGTGCGAGTCCCATCGTCGGAGAACCAAGGGATATCCAACTCATCGGCCTGATAGAATTCCAAGCACTTCTCCAGCAAAGCTGCTCCTTGAAGGGATCCGAACAGTTGCTGAATGCTGGTGACGTTCTCAAAGAGATCGGAGTCTTTGACATCGGCACGTGTCTTGTTTGACAAGAGACCACTCTGTTGGGAGTCTTCATGCCCGGGGTGCTCACGGCGATGCGACGCTGCACTTGCAACCGCTGTGGCTGATGATGCTGACGACTGGTTCACCATGGTGACGGTGGCGAGTCGAAGGTCGGATGTCACAAGTCGCGTAAGGGCGACAGGACAAGCTGTAGGTTGCGAGCCGACACACAGCAAGTCAGCAAGTCTCTATGACATGAAGACATGTGAAGACGTGTGGAAATGCTGTTGCCCCGCCCGCCCCATGTAATGCATGTTGCAGATCATTCGGCAAACAAGGTCATGCTAGGTGAGCTACCCCTTCGCCAGGTGATCGCGAGCTCACGTGGTATCTCACATGTCCTCAGAACACACAACATGACACTACTACAACTTGATTCTTCATCACACCAGAGGCTGATGGTCCTGGTTACCCCGTTCCGACGTTCTGCCGTTCCGATCTCCAACAGATTGTTTTCGAAGCATGGCCTCAGTGCCCAGTGCAAGCAATGCTTCGCCTGTCAATACATGTGACGCTGTGACGCAAGCTCGTGCAGAGTCACTCACTGCAAGGTCTAGGCATGGTGTCCACTTTTGTCGCGTCGTTCTGGTTGTGTGTGGTCGTCGCAAATCACATCCCCAATACTTGAGCCCCAAAACGGTCCAAAGTGGACATGGCCGTCGCCAATGGTCCCTATGGTCATGTTCCCCTGTGGTGTGAACTCACTCAAACTAAATATTTAACAATGCAAATCTATATAACTCATGAATCACAAAATAGTGAGATCCCACCAGCCGTTCTATACATGTGCCACGGAAGGCTCATGTCTGACGACCAAATTAAACGATGCAGAGCACGAGTGCAGTGCAGGATGCAGCACACTTAGCATGCATGCATCATACTGCACTACACAGTCGGCAAATGCACACTGTTCGATGGACTCCATGGATGTAAATGCAGTGAACACATTAATATCCCACTCAATGACATTGAACAGTCCTTGCATGTGAATGGAAACAAATCACGGGTCATGAGCCATGATGTATATGACAGTGAGCAACTGCCGTCGCGTCGTGTGCATTGACATCGTTGGTCTCATGTGACTCATGTGACTATGATCGAAGACAAACTTTGTGCATTGATTCATGACCTGGCTCATGCATGAATCCTCAAGCCTATCAGGGCCTATCATGATCATGGCAACATGGCAGACTCATGTCAGATGTCATGTGTACGTGGCGGTAACATGTGGCATGCCGTGCGTATGGTTTGCCCACACGACAGAACCGGCGATCCACCATTGGACTCATTGGACCATGGCCATGACCATGATCGCATTGAACATCAAGCATACATGTCAGCGCGTGCCGTGCTCTTGCCATTGACTCGGAAGCGCAACCTCTTCACAGGTGGCTCGTCGTCGAAGTTCCGGATGCGCCGGTCCGTCATCCTGCACACATGTAGCAATGCTTGGACCCGTGTGTCCACAAGTTCACTACTACGAAGACAAACAAAGCAATTCTAGTGAGGCTCCGAACAACCAAAAACAACACCCCGGCCCCAGTACTGTCCGCATGGCACGGCGGGACAAACGGATGTTTGCCACGATGTCTGGCAGCTGTCGTTGCTCGTAGGAAAGCAAGCCATGTAGGCTCACAACCGTCATGACAATGATGTTCATGCTGTTCCCAGCCTGAGCCATCATAGATCGTGACGTCCGTCCCTCCCTGGGAAGGTTGAAGCTGCAAAGAACCGGCGTGTCATCTGGTGATACTCCCCACAGACCAGGAACTATGGGGAAGGCTTGCGTCACCAGCGCTTCACTGCCCATGAGCCACCGGGCAGGGACAACGGATGAATGTTGGGTCCAAAGCATGTGTAGGTTGGCAATGATGGTCTGTAAGTGCCGGTCGGTGGATGTGTTCGCAAACCCCGTGGCCGGGTTCTGATTAAGTGCCCATACCTGGTTCGGGTGAACAAGTTCATAGGATGATCGGATGGATTCCTCTCCTGTGTTCAGGGCAGCAAGCCACACCTCTGGGCGAAGCACATCCGACGGTTCCAATTGATCAAGGCCAAAGTCAACAGCCTGGCTGGTTGGTCGCCTACAAGCCCATTCCAGCTCCTGCAGCAGTTCGTTCTTCACCGGAAGATCGCTCAGGATTTTGTGTCTGTAGAAGTACCTGGACGGATCATGGAAGTATACAATATGTAAGAGGGCTGACTCGCATGTCGCATGACACATCGCACCCACATGTCACATGCACACTGTGGCACAGGACTCAGGACTCACATGCAGAATGACATGGACCAACTAACAGAACCAATTCATGGCACATGAGCTGACATGGACATGAACGATGACATGTGCCGCGTTGATTCAGCGAATTAATGCCTTGCACTCCGACAATTCAGTCTGCATGACGAGCTTTGATTGATTGGGCATGACTCACATGACCACATGCATGATGGTAACCACGTGTGCTAGTATGTGTCCATGCTACATGGAGCGGGGGAGTGGATGAGTGGACGAGTGAGTGAATGCCCGGTGCGACGATCTCGACTGACGAGTTGCTCCGACCAGTGATACTTCACGGCCCTGAAGAAGCGTGTCGAGAACCGGGCCAACGGGGAGATCTCACCAAGGACCTTCTCCTTGTGTCGCAGGCGGATAAACTGCCTCCGGCGTGCGCAGGCACAGCCGAATTGTACAGCATCCAGTTCACATACCTCCATGTAGTATATGCTGGAGACTGCCTGCTCAATGACATCCGGAGGAAACCCCACCACGTTCTCCTGTGTCACATCTGGCTCTTGCAGAAGCATTCGCAAACCCAGCCATGCCATAAAGTAAACGATCTCCTGGTCATTGCATCCTAGCCCGGAACCCCGTTTCGAAAAAGGCCGGCAACTGGTGCCTGCAATGTGCCGATTGCAGGTCTTTAGACAACAAGTGCGGCCATGCACTAGGCAATGTGCACTTGTCTGCACCAGCCGATTGGTCCGGAGCAATGGTTGAAGAACTTCAAGAGTCATAGCAGGCTTCGCAAGGAGCTGTGGTATCACGGAGTCCTTGAGCTCGCTCCTGAAGAAATCAGCGATGTTACCAAACACACATCCACCCCCCTCGTGCCGGGCAGACAGCAAGCACTCTGCCTGTGCATCGGGCGACCATTCGATCGCGTGAGACAGGTTGTGGTTGTTGCATTTGACTTCCCTACCCAGTCGCAGACCAAGCCGGTAGCGCATCACTGACAT